GGGGGGGGGGGGGGGGGGGTTGCGTGACAGGGTGTTAACGGGTCCATAGCAGGTAGTCGTACTTTATCTCAAACTGTCCGTTCGATCTCCCCAAACGCTAGTTGCACCGTGACACTAGTAGCAAAGACTTCCACTCCGTCCTAAGATTCACTTTTGCATCTGTTTGCCCGTTAAAGAAGTTTCGCAAACACGCGCGGCCGGAAAGCACGGGCACAAGACGCGGTCCTAGTTCCTTCAAGGTCCCAGTCCCGGCGAGTCCTGCCGGATGTGACGCGTCGGTTGAGATCCAGGTCCCGCGAAGGGATGATTGCGCGCCGTTCCTTATCGCGCGTCCTCCAGCCTTTTCTAGGTGGCGCTCGTGAAAAGTACCGAATTCTTGTAGTAGCCCGTCCGCGATTCTGAAACATAAAGTTTTACCTAATGTAATGCCGGCCTCTCATTCTACGCTTATTATAAATTACGATGGCAGAACCAATGGGAATTGAAATTCCAAAGGCGTCACTGGCTGCAGCGAAATCTCTTCGAGGTTGACGATGCTCCAATCGAACCCTCAGGTGTATTAATATTCAAGGGGATGATCGTTCCTTTCACGGGGATGCAAGACATGCTGGCACGTACTACGTCCGGGAATAGCGGAGGCAGCGGCGCTTGGCGCCGCTCACTAATTACCGTTGAATCAGGAGAGAGAGAGAGAGAGAGAGAGAGAGAGAGAGAGAGAGAGAGAGTAGTAGACGTAGCAGTGTGGTCCAAGAAACAGAGGCAGAGAAATGAGGAGAGATGAAGAAATAGAATGGAGAGCAGGATGGAAGGGTGAAATCGGGGCAGAGGGAAAGGTGGGAGGGAGCCGAGCCCTTCGGGGAGAAGTCGAGTCATCGGGCCTCCGCTTGGCCCTTCGGGTTGGCTCTTTGAGGAGGAGCCGCCTCTAGACTTTTTATCGAACTGTCGCTTATGATTGAAAAAGACTACATTAATAGTCCAAGGGATTTCGGTTGGTGTACCAATATTCCTCGGGGAGAGACTTCATCTTCCCCTCTGTCTCGCCCTTTTGTTCGAGGCGACATTGCACTTTTGGTAGGATCGGTAGGATCGGTAGGATCGGTAGGTGTGGCAGTCCGCAGTCAGGGTTCGCTGCAGGCTACGGCAACGATTACGAGATCAGAAAACTTTTAACCCTAAAGGCTGACAATGAGTCTCTCTCCGTCTCTCTCGAAAATTGGTAAATAAGCTTTCCAGCAGCCGACGACCTGCGCGCGGGGATTCAATCGAGCACTCGTTACGGCCACTGGGATAAGATCCGTCCCTGCTTCGGCACGGGGGTAGAGAAACGATTATTCGCGGTATCGTGGCCAGACGCCATATTGAAATCGCGCTATAGTTTTTGCCCGTGGGAAGTTTCGAAGCCACCAAGTTTCCGACGTAGTGCTTCGGATAAGTTCGCGAATCTGCTTGCCGCTGTACTTGCTGCCGCGTTCGCCGTCCGTTGCAAGAAATTCACCCGGGCAACTCGGCAACCCGAGTTTCTAATTAAAGATTGAAATTTATTTTCGCCAGTAAGAAGCTTCCTGCGAGACACTCGGTGGCATCCATTAACTCTAGAAGAGGGGTGGCCGGGTGTCACCCGCATTGGGGATGTCAAGGAGAATAGGGGGCGGTACCTGGACAGGCGCAACTTTCTTCGAAGGAGATATATACCTTATATCGTAAAGAAGAAGAGCAACGGGAGGAATAAGGAGATCAAGTTGAAGGAACGAGAAGTGAAGTAGTACTGTACTGTAACTATAGCGAATAGTCGGTGCTTATATCGTGGCCGATTACGGGACGCACCTTGAAGAGGAGATTTGACCTGGTCCCTCTCGGCAGCCTGATGTTGTCGCGTCTTTCTTTCCTGCTCCAGCTCCTGGGCCAGCGAGTCTGCGACATAAGAGAATTGGAAATTCGCGTGTTTTTCCGAGTCACCCCGTGTAGAGACAAAGAAGGGGAAAATCATGGAGGGAGTTTCTGTAGAATTTGAAGATGGCCTATCTGCACGGTCCATGGGCCCCTCGGGTTCTCTCACCTATGGGACTAGACTCATCGGCTCGTGAAAACACGATGAAACAAAGCAGTAATTAGTGGAAAGCTCGACTCGACTCGTTCCCCCCGTTTACGAAGTCTCCGCCGCGAGCATCGCCTCACGAGAAACCAAAGAGGCGCAAGGGGGATCAAGGGGATCAAGGGGACGAAGGGGACACGAAAGGAATGAAGGGATGAACGGATGGAGAGACGAAGGGCGCCGAGGGACGAGGTATAACGGGCAAAGGCAGGCGTGAACACGGGGTGAGGTGGTTTGCTCACTGAATTCCAACGGATTAGGGTGAAAACTGGAAAATGTCCCTTTAATGATATTACGTCGAATTAACCGAGCGCCGGCATCGCATACTTGGCTGACCAGTGTATTACCGGCTGCCTCTCCCTTTCTCTTTCTCGCTCTCTGTACTTTCGCTGGTTTTACAATAGCCCGATTTTCCAAATATTAACAAGCCGGGAGACAAGGAAAGGATTTTGTAAAATTCTTAAAATTTCACTCTACAAACTATGTAAATTTGCCTGTCTCACTGAAGATCATTGGCTGGCGTGACGGGCCAATTCGACAGCCGGTATAACCCGGCGATATCCGTGTCTCTCCGTGTACCTTCCCCCTCGCCGCTACGCCCCGTAGTCCCCTCAAAGAGCAATGGTAAAATCGAATTGCGAGCCCATTAAGCTCCGGTTAACTAGCGTAGCGCGGAGAAACGGCGTCGACCTAGCGAGACTAGACGAAGCCGTGGGACAGGACCGAGATTCCATTATGCTCCGAGTAACAATAGCTGAGGGCTGTTTCGTGCTCGGTGCCTTCGTGGGTGTGAATTGTGCGTGCGACGCCGCGTAAGTGGGTGGTCGACTTTAGGTGCGTGCGACGCCTAAGCCCTGCTGCAATGTTTGTGTTTCACTGAGCCAAATTACCTCTCGCGCCCTTATCCGCAGCGCCGGCTGTGTTCTGTCCCTTTGATATCCAAATGACAATTTAACTGCTCGTGATAAAGGGCTGGTGGGGTCGCCGAGGGCTCGACGCGGCAACGCGGGAATCTCGGGATGGGACGAATCTCCTGCCTATTAAGAGGAAAGGCGTTTACGCGTGTATGGCTATCAGTCGCCAAAGAAAAGGGATGCTTTCCCAGAAGTGAGAATCCTTATCAAGCTTCCAGGGGTAGGGTGAGCAAGATTTAACCATCTTGCGGTTCCACTTCATAGTGCTCAATAGCATTTACCCCGAGTACACTCGGGGGGCTGAACTAGGCCAGCTTTGAGATTCCGCGAAGCGACCCTTTTCGTATTAGTCTACGTATCAATGGTCGATGATATCGCGGGGAAGGTAATTTCGGCGAAAAATCCGAGCGAATAAGCCAATCGAAAAAGGGCCGACTAATAGTTTCGCTACCGTCTTACACCCTGACAAATCGTCTGGACAATGGAAACAATTTCAGAGCTGCCCAAACAAGACCGAGACCTAAACGGTTGGTATTGTGGCGGGGGCATTGAGGTCCAATTTTTTCGGGGCCTGACTGAGAGCCGGGGGCCTTCTATGACGATGCGTTTATCCGTAATTAACTCCGACAATGCGTCGGCCAGAAGATACAGAGTGAGTGTGTGAGAGAGAGAGAGAGAGAGAGAGAGAGAAGGCGTCTCCGACTCGGAAGAGAGACAACGGTATAGAGTGAAGGGTCGAGGAGCTCAGGATTCTCTGAACGTCGAGAAAACGATAGAAACACAGAGAAAATAAACCTTCCGTATAAGGAAGAATGAGAAACAAAGAGAAGATGAGTGCCGGATCGAGATGAGAGTCTCTGGGCCGTCTCGATGTCTAGAAAAATTGTCGTATTGTTAGACGAGCTACGGCGCCGAGGTTGTCGAGCTATGGTATCTCGCAGCAGCTCGCGTCTCCCATCGAATCATCCACACCTATGTGGGCCGAGTACACAGAGTCCACAGGCAACTTGCATTAGTTACGATAGGCAACGGCCTGCTAAGGAGCATTCCTGGCTGAATCGATCCGTTACCGATCCTATGGGTGACGGCATATCGATTTTAGTCCTTTGCCCTTTTATTGTCCTTCGGTTTCATCCTGATTCACTGTGGCGGTTCGGGGAGATCGAGACGCGAGCTTCGTTACGCCGTGAAATTTTCAAATCTTTATTTATTAAAAGACCCCTCTCTATTCCCGATATCGGATAATCGAGTGGAGGCCCTTCAAAAAGGGTGTACGGATTCTTTTTGCGCGGACGGAGAAAAAGGCAATTTAAGTATCATATCAGCGAGCAGTAATTGCTTGAATGCTGCTCGCTCCGAGAAGATCAGAGGGAGGCGGAGGGGGAGGTGGAGGGCGAGGAGGAGGAGCAGAATACTCGGTGAGAGGAGGCAGAGGACGGCGCAACGATGAAGAAAGGTAGCCGAAGATGCCGAAGGACGAAGGTGGCCGAGAAGGGTGGGACGTGAGCGGAGTGGCTGGAGGTGGATCGCAGGAGGCAGCTAGATGCTAGAGGGTTGATTCCGTATAGCGTGCGTTTTTAATACTCTGATCTTTATGTAAAACGGGGAGGCGGCGTGCCAGGGGGGGGGGGCGTCGCGACGCGCGCGCCGCTCTCGAGCGTCAAGCCGAGCGTGAAATTGTATGAATCAAGAAGGCACAGGAGACAGAAAAAGCCAAAAAGAAATGCCCCGCGTGCCCTCTCGCTTTCGAATCGCTTTTATAATTTCAAATTTCCGCAGGCGGGAATTATATCTTGCCGCATTCTCTTTTCTTTTTTTTTTTCGCGTTTTTAACATTTCATCCCTCCATCCTTTTTCCTACCCTCGTTTTACGTCTCCCTCCAATATTCCCGAGTCAACGGGCTTCGCCAAATCGACTGGCAGCCGTTTCACCTCTGGGGGAGCTTCACCTTTTATCTTCTACTTAAGATACACGCTGCACGCGATTTCGCAAGGATACAATGTCAAATTTATCTTTGTGTACTATGAGCTTTTTACAGAGAAAAAAAAAGAGAGAGAACGTAGCGAAACGGCCTCTGCGGAATACCCATGTCCCGGCGGTGGGTGGTGAAACCGAAGGAACTTTTATGAAAATAAGCCAGCAGATGCGGCCCGCTTTAATAATACATCTCGCGGAGTAGAAACGCGAGTGTAGGGTAGCTTTGCAAGAAGCGACAGAAGGGGGTGGTGGGGGGCGGCGAGATAAACCAAAGTTGCCGCCTTTTCTTTTTAATTTTAAGTTTCGCGGCTCGACGCATCAAACACGAAATACGAGACATCGGTAACCGTGTATACGAGGGTACTGCGTGTTAAATACAAATATATATGTATATTACCGATTTATATTTTACATCAAGAAAAAAATTCTTCCTCTGTTTCTTCAAGCTCAACCGAGGAAATCAGCAACCTCGGAACATCCCCCAGGCACTTACGCGAAATCATAAACGGAGAGTGAATTTTCCCATATGCATATATGTTACTTCCGTCGTCGGGTTCAGGGCGAAGAAACTGGATGCGGGTTAATGTACGTGAGAATACGTATGAGCCAAGACGATAAATATTCCCCTGTGTAGAATCGGCGCTAGGAACAACAGATAGTCGTTGCTTGTGGAACAACCCCAATATTCCTAACTCGAAGTGACGCACACGTCGCTACCCCTTCGACCGTGTACACAAATAGCAACCCCTGACTCCGGTCTCTTTTTCTTGGCATTCAACTTTTCTGCGTTTCCTTCGTTCTCTCGAATCTTCATTCCGAGATGGAAGTGCAGCCCACGCCACCCCCTTTATATCCTCGGTGTGAACGCGTCACGCTTCATCACGGTAGCTCCGCTTATTGTCTTGCGAGTAATAACAGGGTGCACGCACGCACGCACGCGCGCACGCACCTATGCTCTATTGCATCAGTCCGCTATCGGACGACTGGAGGTTCGGACAAGAAATCGAGTCAGCCGCAGCAACCTCAGGTTGAGAATGTCGATCAGGTCGGCAGCCGATGTCGAAATGGCTGACGCCTGGTCGGGATGCCTACCGTTAATCCACTGGCAAGGTTTATTCTCTCACGTGGGAGTTCAGGGCCGCTGCGATGCAAATAACCCCGTCCCTCGTCTGACACCTCGGCGCGGCAGGGTAATCATTTCAATTCTGAAGAATTTTCAAAGGCCCCGCCCATCAAATATTAAATCCGCCCGGCGATTTAGAGTGATTGCGGTCGCGAGGTGCCGAGAAACGACGCAGCGAAAAGTCAAGGGACGCGGCAGCGCGACTGTAGATTATTCCGTGGGTACGAGACGTCCGGTTGGCCGCAGGTACTTGCTCCGTAGGCACATTGATAGACTTTCTGGAGGTGGCTGGAGCTGGAAGAGGATCTCGGTGTGCGTCAGAGGTTGGTACGTGCGCGTATGCCCAGCGAGGGAGAAACAGTCAAGGGGGAGGGAAGGCGGAGGAGGTTATGGTTGCTGCGAAATTATTGCATATAGTCTGAATATTAAAGCGCGCCGGAGTGCCGCGTCGTTCGGGGTTGAACGTGTGGATGTTGATGTTGATGCGAACGCGAAGGAATGGCGCGCGCGCGCGCGCGCGCGCGAGAGAAGACAGGTAACGCCACCGAGAGCCGCGACGGCCGCCGGGGAAATTACGGCTCCTTCCTTACTTGCGAAATGTGCATAAACTCTGCATTACACCAGGGGACTCTCAACTTGCTTTCTGCGTTTGCCGAATAAGAAGACGGCGCCTGGAGGTCGCTGGACCAGTCGCCGATTGGGAGTCACTGCTCGTATAGAATGCATGACTTTAAGACACAGCGACCCCGGGGTCCCCTCAGTGGCGTAAGTACCCACCTCAGACGACGCGCTCATCCCCCCGGGTGGCCTCTGAGCAGCAGCAGCC